GCGCCTGCCCTGGCTGCGGGAGCGTGAGATCTCTCGCCGCCTTTGCTGTATTTTTATTTTCTTTTATTGGGGCGAGGGTGGGCGATTTAAAACTTATTTGCACGGTGCCTGGCGTGATTTGTCCATCTGCCCTGCTCTGCCTGGTCTGCAGCTGGGCTTGTCCGTCTGTGTGCCATGATGGTGTTGCGCTTTTCCCCCAAAGATGGCACTGGATGTCTTTCGCATTTCCTTGGGATATTATTTTTCATCCCCTGGGGAGCCCGGCTCCTGGTTGGTAGAGCTGTAAATCTTTCCCTTTCCACGTTCATTCACCCTTGCTCTGTTGTGGATGTGTGTTCAGCGCTTGTGGAAGCAAATGCGTCTGGTGGTTTTGGTGGGTGGTTGGTGGTGGTGTTTTTTTTTTATTCCTCTTAATCTGGCGATCCTAAAGCCCACGCAGGTGACGTTAGATGTAAAACGAGACCTTTGGCTTCTGGGAGAGCGCAAAGACTTTGTGTCCCGGCAGAAGCTGTCGCTTACAGCTTGTTAGCAGTCAGTGATAAAGATGCTGACTGCCTGCTAGGAGAGACCTTTCCTGCGCTGGTCTGTCCTCGCGCTGCCACGCTGCGCCTTTTTCTTGCGTGGGCAACAGCTCCGTGCCGGCCGTGGCCTGGGGTAGGCAAGACAGAATCTTTTCATGATTATTGAATGAGTTTTGGAAATGCTTGGCGGCACTTACCTTTCTCCTCTTCCAGGTAAACGTGCATGACATCTTGGGGGGAGTGAAAAGGGACTTTCCCCCCAGCTGTCAGTAAAGGAAAGAGGTTCTTGGTTCTCTATATAAATGTGACGTTTGGATACTTGTCTGAATTTGCGTTTAGGTGCAGAACTGTCGCTGCAGTCTTCTCAGGAAGCATTGTCTCAGTTTTCGTGTTGATAGCTAGGGAGAATGACAAGGAGTGAAAATGCGTAACATCTATTTAAAAGAAAGACCAGGAGATTTATTTATTTGAGAAACGTTTAATCTGTCTTGTGCAAATGCATTTGTTCTTTGATTGTGTTTTGAGGTTGTTGGGGTGAATTTCGTTTTTTGTAATCCCCTCATAACATGCTTATGAATCCTTAAGTACTTTTTATCTGGCGTCTAGTTCATCTTGGCCTTTTGGTTTCACACTTTGGCCTGTGGTCGGAAAATACTTGAGACTGGGCTGTTTGCACCCTTGCTTCAATTTTATAAGGAGCACATTAGGTTTGTATGCCGAGTTACTTTCTTGGAGAAAACGTCTCGGCCCCTTGATAGTACTTAGTTCGAGACTCTGTAACGCACATAATGTCACTTTAAAAAAAGGAGACTTTCTGAATGTACTAGCAAGCAAATCTGTTGAGCTTTCTGGTGCTGCAGACTCAGAAGAGTGAGAACTGTGCATGTTCTTTATTCTGCCATATGGAACGTGAACCTGATGGTGTTCTTGCTTGTTGCTAGCGTAGTTTTGGGGGCATTCAGTTGCTATTGCTAGTCAGACAGACATTGAGTTCGGTAGCAAGTGAGAGGCACTTTCTTCCCGTGGCTTGCCAAGTACGCGTACAGGTTAACACCATTTTCATTTCTTAATGGCATGGGGTCTCCTTCGCATTCCTCATCCGTGATGCCATACCCAAACTCTCCCCATTGCTGGACTTTGGCCAGGTCCTCAGCGCTGTTGTATTCCCCTGCTGAAAGAGCTCACTGCCAGGTGGCCAGGGCAATTTCTGGTTTGCCCTGTCATTTCTGTTTTGAAAAAGTATCCGATTCTTTATTCCTCGTTCGCCCTTGATCTTGCGTATGCATGTGTATAGGTACACGCACGATGTTTACTTACGCCCTCTGTCTTCTTGTTATTTCAGGATTTCAGATGCATGCCAGGTTCCCACTGAATGCCACACGTAGAGATCACTACAGATGGAGCCCCAAAGTCAACATGGCAGTGGTGGTTCGCTAGTGGTGATTCAGCAGCCCTCCTTGGACAGCCGGCAACGGCTGGACTATGAAAGAGAGAGCCAGCCAGCAACTATCTTGTCGCTGGACCAGATCAAGGCGATCAGGGGCAGCAATGAATACACGGAAGGTCCATCTGTGGTGAAAAAATCTGGCCCGCGGACAGCACCGAGGCAAGAGAAGCATGAACGGACTCACGAGATTATACCGATTAATGTGAATAACAATTACGAACACAGACCCAGTCACACAGGGCATGTGGCACATCAGCATAACGCGAGGGCTCCCGTCTTGAGCAGGTCGACCAGCACGGGGAGCGCGGCTAGCTCTGGGAGCAACAGCAGCGCTTCCTCGGAGCAGGGCCTGCTGGGGTGGTCACCTCCGTCCAGGCTGGGCTCCGGCCACCGATCCGATCGGACAATCCGGACGCAGCCCAAGCAGTCGTCGCTGATCGTAGATGATCTGAAGGGTCCTTTGAAAGAGGACTTGACGCAGCACAAGTTTATCTGCGAACAGTGTGGGAAGTGCAAGTGCGGCGAGTGCACGGCCCCGAGGGCTCTCCCTTCCTGCCTGGCCTGCAACCGGCAGTGCCTCTGCTCTGCGGAGAGCATGGTGGAGTACAGCACCTGCATGTGTTTGGTCAAAGGGATCTTCTACCACTGCTCCAACGACGATGAAGGGGACTCCTACGCGGATAACCCCTGCTCTTGTTCCCAGTCACACTGCTGTTCTAGGTACCTGTGCATGGGAGTGATGTCCTTGTTCCTGCCTTGCTTGCTCTGTTACCCTCCTGCAAAAGGATGCCTAAAACTCTGTCGAGGGTGTTACGACCGCGTCAATCGTCCAGGTTGCCGATGCAAGAACTCCAACACAGTCTATTGTAAACTTGAGAGCTGCCCCTCCCGGGGTCAGGGCAAGCCCTCATGATTTTTGGAGGGAGGTTTACTTCCTCCAGCTTCAGTTTTTCAGGTTGTAGCTGATTTTGGTTTTCTTTCTTTTAATTTCCCCCCTCCCCCTTCCCCTGTTTGGGGAGGGGGCTGTTCTTTTGCTTCTCTTTCTGTCTCCCCAACTTCACATACACAAGTTCTTCCCTTTGCATCTTTGCTGTCTTCCCGTTGACTCGGCTGAGCGTGGAGCGTTTTACGTAGTCATTGCTGCTCTTTGGTAAGTGTGGACCTGGTATCTGCATCTGCCTCTCCTTTTGGTAGGGTCTTTTGAGTTTAGCTGAACCACGCCTGAAAGAGATGGTGAGGGCTCATTGGGCTCTTGAACCTTCTTGCTCTGTGAATATCTTTCCAAAGATGTTTTTTGTTCTCAGCAGTTTTTTTTCCTTAACCCCGCTGGGTACCAAGGAAGAATAACTTTCATGAGTGAGCTGGATTGTGAAATAACTTTTTGTGTATGTCCTTTCTGGAGAGGGATGTAAAATAAAGGCTTCACCAAATGAAAGACCTGACTCTTCTCTAAGCAGCCTGCTTTCTCCCCCCTCCCCCCCTTCCTTTTTGTTTTGTTTTCTCCCCTGCCCCTCTCTTTTTGTCTTAACTGTTGGAACATTCTCAGTCCTGAGAATCACCCTGCCTCCTTTTTTTACACTATCAATATAACTTCAGTTTTTGCTACACTATGTAGATCTTCACATTGGAGACATTACGGCTGCAACATACTGCTGAGTTTCTTTTGCTGTCAAACCTTTGAAGGATACTGCTCACTCCACCTCCTGTGTTTATAGTCTATCAGTAGCAGTTGATATTGAAGTTGGTGGTGTTCATATATCCAAACAGCTTTCAGGTGTCATGGAGTCACCTACACGTTCTTGAATCCTTAAAGTTTCTTGTGATCCTTTGGTTTAGTGAATTTAGCTCTGCTCTGTACTTTATAATTTTATTCTGTCCCTGTTTTATTGCCTTAGCCACAAATTGTGGTCCTTTTTTGTATATTTTATGTATAAAACACAAAGTTGAATCCCAACTATTTTTAAGACAAAAGTCTGTTAAAACTTTTTTTATTGTAAAGAATATTTATTATGTGAATCTCTATTATTTTATGATATTTATTGCAAAAGACTTTGAAAATGTACTCATGTCTGAATATAACAAAATATCAATACTTAACGAAATACGGATGACACAAAGAAAGTACATATGTTAACTATAATGCAGAAAATATATTAATTAATGAAAATGGCTCGAGTTCTTTTGTTATTAGGACAGGTTGTGAGTGACGTACACCTGTTGCTGGGGTGGGGGGGGGTGGTTCTCCTCCTTGCAGTCCATCAGGCAGCATATAACTTCTTATTGATACTTCAAAACCACTAGTCTGTGCTCTAGTTTAGTTTACCTAATTTTAAATTTACTAACTATATATCAAGTAAGTTTTTGCTATGGGATGTTTAATACAGTTGAATGTAGATGTTGTGCTTAACAGTGCCAAGAAATGTGGGCCCTGTTGGTTTACCAGAGCATTTGGAAATACAGTTGTGGAAGAGGAAACCATAGCTTCTAGAGTTTGGGTGTTTTTTTGTTGTTGTTTCCTAAAGAGCACCAAATTAACAAGTAAACCTATTTTAAATTTTCCGATATAGAACTTCTTGGCTGGTCAAATTGTACGTCAACTGGAGTCACAAACCTACCAAGCTCAAATTAAATAAAAAGCAAGAGGCAGGATAAAAAAATAATGGTTGTGGTGCTGTAGTTGGCCAGCTTTGAAATTTGGGGGTGGGTGTGTTTGTGCATGTGTCTGTGCCTCGTTTGGTTCTTTTCCCCTACACTTTCCCAATGTCAATCTATCTTCTGTCTTTAAATTAAAGGCTCTTAAGGGTGACCCAAGTGTCACAGCTACTTGTGGCCATTTAACACATATTCAACAAAAAAAGCTTTTCATTAAGAGTGAATGGGGAAGCCTCATTCTTCTTTTCATGTGGGTCAAGGCTAACATCACAATTCAACTGAAGTAAAAAGTTTATTAAATGGATGTAATTTCGCACGGTTTTCAAGAGTAAGTGGTTCTAGAGAAACTCCACTTTAAGAGCACAGTAGTGACTTGACAAATGTGTCATATTTTGAACTTTGAAGTCCTGCTGCTTTGGCTTGCCATATTCAAGCTGTTCTGACTCCTAGCATATTGATGATTTGAATAAGCTCAGCTTTTGTAGTTAACTCTGTCAAAGCTGATCCAGTGTCATGTAATAGCTGTCTGAACAGTTGCATCCTTTATTAGATGGCACGGGTGACTTCTGTGAGATATACGGTGAAATCACTATTTGGCTATATCTAGGAAACCACTTGCTTTGCAGTATACTGTTGGTAATACTGCTCTCCCAGACTCAGTGTGACAAAATACACGGCCTGGGAGGCTTGTGAGGCGGTGGTGTGTACATATACGAAGCCTGCTTTCCAAGATTTATTCTTCATGAGATGAAGCAAAGCCAAGAGAAGAATGCTTCCGAGGAGTAGGCGGTTTGCAATGCACTATGTTCCTGTCACTGATACTTCTCTAACAGTGACAGCTGCAAACAGCCCTTGGGAGACAATGAAATCCTTGTCAAACAGTCACTGGTGGTCAGATATGACCGTTTTCAGGACTGTGTACTGACTCAAAAGTACTGAGCCAACTGCCTTTTCATAACTGGATACAATCCAACTCTGCGTTGAGTAAGCTTGCTCAAAGGGTGTGGGTTATTCCTCTTCAGGAAAAACTATATGGCTTTCCTCTGTCTTTTTTTTTTTTTTTTTTTTCAGCCAGGTGACTTATGTGGGGGTTTGTTTTGGTTCCTAGCAGAAGAAAGCCCAAAGGACCCATGTGTATTCTGTCTTTAATGATTGTCTTCTATCACAAGCTATGTCACAGCACAGTTTCGGATGTCATTTTTAAACAGTCAACCCACGCTCTAGTTAGTCACACTAACAGATGTTCTCTTTACTAACTAAACTGTGAGGAAAACTTCAGGTTGCTGTTCCTCAGGAGGAAAATTTGACTTTGACCTGCAACAGCAACGACAACAGTTCCCTGTATGTCTTGAGTGATGTTCTCATTGCCAGGTGTTACCTAGGGAAGGCAGTGCTAAAGTAGTGGGAATAATCGTTTTTTCTTGAGTTAGATGCTGTGTTGTTCATACTTAATGTACATCTGTATATCTGAGTTCCTTTCAGGTCCTCTGGAACGTGGGGTGGTTGCCTTGTCTTACCCTATGGCAACAGCTGTGACTTCTTCAGGCAGCCAGATTTTGTGTAGAACCACGCAGGATTGCATGAGAGCAGAGGAGTGTCTGTCTAGTGGGAAGAAATGAGCAAGCTGACAGGTGTACAAAGCAAGCCTCTACAGCCTGAAGAGACACAAGTTATTCTAAATATGCCCTAAATGGTCAGTCATTATAATCTGTTTTACTTCTTACAATATAGCAACTGGAACAGCTATCTAGAGATACTGAATTTTGCTGTAAGGGGGGTTGCTAAACGCTAATGAGATTTCGGGCAATTAGGAGCCTGAAGTGCAGATTTCAGTTCTTTGGCCCAATATTGGTCAGTGGGCTGTTCAGGTTACTTTATACATGTCTGTAAAGCACCAAACTCTCAGAAGTCCATTGCAGCAGAGATCATAAAAAGCGTTTCTTAACTGTTTTCAGATAGCTTTGAGATCTTTGAAAAATAAAGGGAACCCTGTATAAAATGATGGTACAATTAGGTGCTAAGTTCAGCTGACCTACTAACCTAATTTTATGGGTTGGGGATGGATTTGAACAAGCCGGCCATCTGGTTGCAGGCAGCAGAGCCCTGAAATGTGTCACGTAAGGTCTGGGGTGGAGGAAAAAGGGAAGTCCCTCCAGCAAGCTGGAATTCAAGCCTTGGTTTGCTTAGTGTCCTGAAACTCGTGGTAAGAGAAGAGTTTTGGGAACAGATGGTGAATAGGTTTCCATGTTCCTTGATGGGGAACACATTGCTGGGGTGAGAATTGGAGAGAGTTGGGGTGTTTCACTAAAGACGGCTTCATTATGCTAATGCTCGTGTGGGTGATAGCGTTATCCAAGGGGGATAATGCTTAATAAATGAAAAGTACTTGTTCTTGTTTATGGCTCCATATCATAAAGACAGGTGGGAGAGGATTAGCTCTTCTGCCTGTGATGATAAAGCAAATGTGTTAAGAGGGATTAAAAGGGCTGGATGAAGTGTTTTTAATGGACTTATATGAAGTAATAGATTTTTGTCCTGGAGGAATGTTCAGGACTCACTGATACTTCTGTATTTCTTGTTCTGCTAAAACTACCTCCAAATTCTAAAGAATCCTGATTAATTGTTGGCTTTCTTCCAGCTGGAGCATTTCTGTCAGTCATGGTGGTGCTTCAAAAAACCCGGAATAAAATTTTGTTCTGCTGCCACACAGCTGGATTCACCAGCCTTACACAGTGCGTGGGTTGCACAGGTCTTGTTCTGATTAGCCTTCGTCAGTGGGCAAGTTGCTTTTAGGGCAGTTCTTAATCTTTGTATTTTTCGCTGTGATGGTTCTTCAGCTTGCTTTCACTGAGGGAGTAGCCAAGGCATGGCTGCTACCCTCAGCAGTGGTCATACGGGGCCTGTGTTAAGAAGCTGTATACTCACTGGAGGGATTTATACAAAAAAAACCTTCTAGGCTACCCAAAAGTTTCCTTCGGCATGTTCTGCCTCCTCCGTCAGAGCACGGACGTGGGCTGTCATCGGTACCAGGACTGATGCCCCACTGTCCTGTGGGGGACAAGGATGCTCTGTGAGCTGGGCAGCAAGCACAGCCCACAGAGCAGCTTTCTGGTGTTGTTCCAGCATTTAAACCCCCAGCCCAGAGTTACTTGGGCTCTTTGTGCACCCTTGGGCTGTGAATACTCCCTTCCTGCAAGTTAGAGCTCTTGCAGTGCCCATCCCCACCACCAACCACAGTGCAAAAGCCCAGGCCCTCCCCAA